CACACAGACAGAGGGAAGGTTTAAATCGGTTTTAGAGTTGCATAACAAATAGAAAAAAGGCCTTTTATGATAACAAATAAAAAGATATTCACACTAACACACACACTGTTGTGACAGGGGGAATTAAAGCTATAGGAAGTTGGCAAATGGTACGTTACAGTTGACAGGTCATGTGTGTGTGGGGGGGGATCGTTGTTGTCCAAAGAACAAGGAATCTTTTTGTGTGTTTTTTTTTTAAACACACCACACCCGTCCCATTTATCCAGCAACCCCCACGCACCCCCCCCCCCCGACACACACACACACACACACACACACACACACACACACACACACACACACACACACACACACACACACACACACACACACACACACACACACACACACACACGGGTAAAGGTCAGACAGGTATGACGTTAGGACCACACACTGGGTAAACCAAATGAAAAAGGGGGGAGGATGTGAGGGGAGGGGTGATGACGAGCAGAAAGGACAAGAACTTAAGAAGGATCAGAACAGCTACAAAGATACCAAGAGAAACTTCATTATCATCATCACCATCATCATCATAATTATGAGAAGATTATTTTTCCAATGACAAATACTTAAAAATATACATTTCATCATCATCTTAATTATCAATATTATTATTATTCCCCTTTGGATAGCTGAGGTTAGCGCTTCAAAGACCGGCGCGCTAGGTGACGAGGACTTAAACAGAGAGATGGAGAGAGAGAGAGAGAAGTGGAGTAGGTGGAGGCTTTGTGTTGAACAGAAGGTCAAGTTAGAGCTCTTTGGTTTTATTCTTTAACGTCTGACTCGCTTTGCTGTGTTGCTGGAGGAAAACCTTTGGACTAAAGCTGTATTGTAGACGAGAGAAAGACAGAGAGGAGAGAGGGATGGAGGAGAGGGGGTGTGGAGGAAGAAGAAGCAGCTTGTTTGTTGTTGTTTTGTTTTTTGGCTCTGCTCACCGTGTCTCTCCTTCTGTTTCTTATCTTGACATGATTCAATTTCAAGCACTGTTTCTTGCATTTCAAAGGAATAGTTTGACATGTTTTGAGGTTTTCTTGCCAAGGTTTGGATGAATGATTGACACCATTCTCTCATATCTGTATAACAACAACATGGAACTACGTTAGCTTAGCTTAGCAGGGGGAAAGAGCTAGGATGTCTCTGTCCAAATGAGGTGGAAATGATGACTCACTTTGCTGACTCATTGTTTTGTTGACTTCAGCACAAAGATATGTGGTCACGGATCAATTGGTTTGTGTCGGTTTTTCTAAAAGAAACATGAGTGCATCAAATACACAGCAGTATCTAAAAGCATCACCATTAAAAACTCTTTCATTCTGTCTTCGTTAAGTGCCAAGTTTAGGGTTAAAGTCGTCACTTAAGTACAAAACAATACCTAAACAGGAAGTGTTTTCAAGATGAATAGCCCAACGCTTATTTGCAACGGTGCCATCACAGCATTATTATGTAGGCCTATGTGGTGTTTCAGTCGGCAAGCCTTTAGTCTGAGCTTTCAGTTAGCATTAAGAGGAGCTCCACTGTTAGAAGCTACTATTTCAATATAATATCAAACAATTATTTATAGGCCTATGTACGGAACAAAATCTGCATTTAAAGCTAACAAATGTTAGTTAGTTTGTTCAGAACTTGCAAGAACGATAGCTTGGCCCTGCAAATACCTTCCTTCCTGGTTCTTATCTAACTCTTGGCAAGAAAATGAATAAACGTAATTCCCCAAAAATGTCAAGTTACTCGTTTAAAACTCATTTTTGTAGATGTTGTAAAGGCCGACTACGAGCCTGATTTTATGGAGAGAGAATGATTAAAGCATAGAGGAAAGAAGAGTTTCTGAACGCTCTCTGAAGGTGGACATCAGGGTTTTAGGGAGTGTGTACATGGTGCTGGATCACATGGCGGGGCATTAACTTTGGTATCATTCACTAAGGGGGTATCCCCGCCGGAGAGACCAACACTTCACACCCGGTCCCTCAAACCCTAACGCTCACTAAAGAAGAGCCTCGTCAGAAACATCCTCCCATTTCCTCTGAATGCTGAAGGAGAGCAAAACAACACATGCTTCTTCTAAACTCTCAACACACACCGGGTCTTGAGAAGTGTTTGGATGCGTCACCTAGCATCAGCGGTCCCAGCCAATCCCCATTGACCTGCCCTGCTGCACCCCAGATTCACATAAACTGGTCAATATGCCCCCTCATCAGGCAAGACCTAAAGGCGAGAGGGGGTTTTGGAGACCTTATGGGTAAAGCTGCTCTGTAGCAAGAATCTAGAAGCTTTTGAATTCAAAAAGATTGATCCAGATTAGAGTCTAGATTTGCACCAAAGAGCAGCTTTACAGTCCGTGTTTGACAGGGAGGAAGCAGCGAGGGTCAGATGTGAGGAGAGGGCTGTGCTCAAAGCTCAACACAGACAGCGGGGGGTGTTTTCCAGAGGGACAAGGTGTGTGTGTGGACCAGAGCTTGAACCAGTGCAGCCCTTTGACCTTAAATGGCAACTTCTGAATCCCTTGAGAAAAACTGATCTATTCCATGATCTGTCGACTCCCAGATCAATCCCAAACCTCTGTGTTCACACCTCGGCTTTACTGCGTCTGCTCTCAGGCCACAAATCACACTTTCCACACATAACACCGTTATCCCCACTCGAACCCCGCATTTTAAAGCATTCATCTATTTGGTTTATCATCAAAGAATATGAGGTATATGATGAACTATCTCTCGTTTACATCTTACAGTGGATGAAGAAAAAAGTTTGAAACAGACGTCTAGAAAAGTGGAAACAAAAAACTGAAAAAAGAGACAAAGTAGAGGGTAATATACGGGTTTAAAATCCAGAATCACCCTCTTGCCTCCTGTCATGTAAAAACCGCTAGCCCCAGTTGCTCTTCTTCTTTTGTGTTTTTGGTTGCGTAGCTGTAAAGCTTTCAGTGTTTTCTCCCTTGAGAGAAGATATCAAGAAGAGGCAGAACAGCGTCTTAAAAAACACCTCATCCTGCAGTTTTTCATACATTATATTTATGCATTGAAACAGCAATTAAACTAGCCATTTCTGTCCCATTATCAGGAGAAACAACGTCCAGAAAGCCTCTATCAAATGCATTGTTTATCCCGCTGATGATGAGGTGTTTGCCACACAGTGCTGCCTCTCGTTCCTGTGAGTTTCCCCTCCCTTTAAGAGGAGGAGCACATCTTTACGGCTGACCATTCAATCCGTCATATTCTCATATTAAGTCCCGACAGGACGTGGTTGCATTTCTGGTATTATTTGGTTTAAAGAAGTAGGAAAGAACTTCATCAGGGGACACAAAAAAAGAAAATCCATCACAAATACATCTCAGGATATGAAAAAGCACCTCTAGAAATAAATTAACAAATAAATAGCAAGCAAATAAATCAACCCTATCCTGAATAAATAGTACAATCAAAAGTCTAAATCATCATTAATAAGGAAAACAAAAAGTCCAAAGAGAGATAGTTAACATTTTTGGTCTAAAATCAAGTTATTATCATCAATGTTTTTAAGGATCTTTTTTTTTTCTCAGTCTTTTTTTAACGTTTTTTCTTTTTAATACATTAGCGATAAGTAAGCAGTAGAACATAGATCTTTTTTCTACAAAATCTATAGAAGCACTAACAGATACATTCCGTCTAAGAGTCAATGTGGAGAACAGGTTTCACCCCACATCTAAAGTTTGGTTCACGATCATCGCGTGTCGACTGTTTTTCTGGTGTGGATCAAACCAAATATTCTTTGGATTCGCTTACGTCCAGCTCTCAGAAACGTCAACCTGACTGAGGCCGCTGTGTGTGTGAGTTATTCTGCGTCGGAAGTGCCGTCTCTGGGGTCAAAATGAATGACAAGACATCACTGCAGACCCTTGTTTCTTTTCTGGCCTCCCAATAAATGCAGAACAACACAGTTTCACCTCAGACAGATCGACCCGTTTCTGTTCCCTCTACTGTGTTTGGTTTGGTTCAGTATTTGGTTTTTCAAGGTTTGATATTTGTTTTTGGCTTTTTGTGTGTCTTTTTTTTTCCTCTGCCAAGACAGTCTGTTTCTTTATCTAATAAAAATCTGGAAGCTAAATTTTCACAGTATTTTTTCCAACCACCTGATAAAAATCTCTAGCACGACTACGAAAAAAATAAGGAGCTCTTGTAGTAATAAGTAAGCGAGTACGTTATTCCAAATGAGTAATAAGCACTAAAGTACAGTACGTAAAACGGCATCAAGAGACAGCAGAGATAAAACAATCGGAAAAAAACAACCAACAGAAAAATAAAAACAGATTTTTTTTTAGAAGATTTCAGTTCAGTGAGGTCATTTGCGTTTAGCTCCATCCAGGACCAGAGAGCTGGGCTGGAGAGAGAGGCAGAGGAGGGGAGGAATTGTGTGTCCTTCACCTGTCTGTCTGCCTGTCTATCCTCCCTCCATCCATGCTACACAGTTTCAGAGAGGGAAACTCTAAAGCTCACAGACAGACAGACAGACACCAGCACTTTGTCCTCCTCCCCTCCCCCCTCCAGCCACATTTGGTTAGGGTTTCTTTTTGGTTTGTCATTCCTTGGGTTGTGTTTTTTTTGGTATGGGTTTATTTTTGGTATCCTCTTACAAAAAAGAAAAAAAGAAGCCTGCTCCCGTCACTACGGTGCATCCCTCCTTCATCCCGCCCTGTCCCTTTCTTTCTGGGGGTTCGGAGTAAAGGATCAGTTCCCTAAATAAAGCTTCCCCCGCGGGTTTGTGGGGACGGGCCAGGTGGAGGGGATGACACCAAAGAGGGGCTTAAACGTCCTGCCCCTCCGTGTGTCTTCATTGTGTTCAAATGTCCTGGCAGAGGCTCTTTAGCCCGGGCCTTGAGAATGCTTTGGTTTCCATTTGAGAATGAATGGCAGTCTGAGGTGGAAAAGGACAGTGAAATGTGATCGATGGGGTGATGATGGAAACAGACGAACATCAGTAAACACGTCTAGACAGACAGGTGTGTGGCAGGACTGTGACTAAACTTGCCTTTAGTGACTTATTTATTCTTCAGTCTCAATGGTTATTACCTTTTAAATGTCCAATCAGAGCCCCATTTCATACTTTCACCGCTAACAAACGTCTTTTTTCAGAGTGTGAAGTTTTCCAGGGCATGTTCATTTAGTCACGGAGGCTCTGGTAATGGGGTTATCTTTAAGAGTGGTGTGATTAAGAGCGCTAAATGTTTAGGTCTTAATCAATTCAGTCACACCTTGAAATCAACTCTATTTTTGGATCTATGGCACTTGGTGAGCTTCTCTTCACCGCTGTTTCTGCAGAATAGTCACACTCAAAAGAAATAAACACATGATGAAGATGATGATGATGACACTGATGAAGATTCAAACGCTACAAAAGAAGCGGCAACAATAAATAGGAGTTGGATGGGAAATGACACTAATAAATAATTCAATCCCAACTCTCAAAAGTGTAAAAAAACAAACACACTAAGCCTCTGTCAAAGAAGAAAGCTATCCTATGCTCTTGGAACCAGAGGTAGGTACAGAGACTAAGACGGCGATCACTCAAACACAACGTCTGGACTCGCTCAGTAACACTCTTTACAAAATGATTCAATATATATCTAGCATGAAGAGAGACACGTGAGCTGACAGACAGGATGATCGATGGTGGGATGGATTGGTGTGTGTGTGTGTGTGTGTGTGTAGCAGTAGTCCTGGTCCTGGATAGCTTCAGTATTTACACGTCCTTTGAATAAAGCTTTTCTCTCCGTATTTTTGGTTTTTGGTATTTGGGATTTTGGTATGGTTGTCGTTTTTTTTTTTTTGTCATTGTGTATTCTTCCTCCTCAGGTTCATTTTTGGTTTAAACTTCTCCTCCCTTCTCCTCTTCCTTCAGACCCGCAGCTTTTCGAAATAATAAAAAAAGGGAAAACGTAAGCACAGTCCTCCCCTCCATCTTTTGTTGTCCTTGCCGCCATTCCTTTGTCACATAGTAAAGTTATCTTTTGTCATTTTTGGTTTATGCGCTTCGACATGCTTCTCTGTTAAAGAGTCATTGGTTTGTTTTCCTTTAGAGAGAAAGAGATGTCGATATCACGTGTTTTTGACAAAAAGGTCCCACGTTGCCTCCTCTCCGTCTGTTTGGATAGATAAAGATTTTTGGTTTCAATCTTCCCCTTTCCCCCCCTTCTCCCCTCTTTCACTTCTTCCCTCCCTCCCTCTCTCCTCTTTCATTCTGTGTATTTTTGGCATCGAAAGACTGGGAGAGAACGAGAGAGAGAACCATTGCGAGAAAAATATCGGAAGAAGAGCACAAGAGAGAGAAAGAGATAGCTTTGGTGTGAAAGGCGAGGTTTCCGTTTCCTCCTTCCTCCTCCTCCTCTCTGATTGGCCATTTGGCGCGGTCACTCAATCTTGGCCCCGCCCAGAGAGGTCGGGCTGTGTGCCATTTCGCTGGAGGAACAGGAAGAGGCAGGGCTTGAGCAGGGGGAGGGGGAGCAGGGGGTGGGGCTGATGCTGCTGGCCAATGGGAAGGCTTGGGAGGCTTTGGCTACGGCGCTGAAGAGTCCGGGGTTCTGGCTCATGTGGAGCAGAGCCGGGTGGTTCAGGAAGAGGGAGGAGGGCAGGCCCCCGTGGCCCCCCCCCCAGCATCAGCTTACTGGCCCCTTCAAGACTGGAAAGAGGCAGCTGGCCACCACTGGCTGCTAGGGCTGAGGGAGGGAGAGAGAGAGAGGTTAAAACATTCAATAACTGGGATGTCATGTATTGTAATTAATGGTACAGTGCATGCTTTTCACTGGTTATACATTGTGTGTGTAGGCGGGTGCTCGTGTGTGTGCGTAAGACAATTGCTGTTTGACTATTCCTTATACCAAAGCACATTCCTCTTATGTGTAAAACTATTTTTTTTAAAACGTTTAATGCTATTTTATTCTATTTCAGAAAATATGGACTGTTATTGGTGCGAGTGTCGAAGTGCTTGAGGCCTTGTTTTTATGCTGCTGCAACGCAAACATTTCCAATGGAATCAATAAAGAGCGATATAGCCAGCTAGCAAGCGAGCGAGCGACCGAGCCAGCGAGCCACCAGCAGCCAGCGAGCGAGCGAGCGAGCGAGCCAGCCAGCGAGCAGCCAGCGAGCCACCAGCCAGCGAGCGAGCGAGCGAGAGAGCGAGCCAGCCAGCGAGCGAGCCAGCCAGCGAGCGAGCCAGAGGAGCCAGCCAGCCAGCGAGCGAGCGAGCCAGCCAGCCAGCGAGCGAGTCGGAGCCAGCCAGCGAGCGAGCCAGCCAGCGAGCTAGCCAGCGAGCGAGCCTAGCCATCCAGTCATGCGAGCGAGCCATCCAGCCAGCGATCGTAAGCCATCCAGCCATGAGAGAGCGAGCTAGCCACCCAGCCCATCCTAGCTATCTATCGAATATCCAGGCCATCCATCCTATCTAACCCATCCATCCATCGATCTATCCAACCGATACCCATCGAGCTATCTATCTATCCGCCCATCCATCCAGCGATCGTATCTATCTATCTATCCATCCTCTATCTAGCATCTATCCATATCCATCCCCATCCTCATCCTCGATCTAGTCTATCGATCTATGCTATCATCATCTATCATATCCATTCCATCTATCGATCCGTCCATCTACTGTATCTATCTATCTATCTGGTTCAATAGTTCTTCATCCAAAATCCTTTATGATCTGTTTCCTGAATGTTTGAAAATGTAAGAAGCAATCCCTTCTGTCCCCCACAAAGCACCTGGGTACAATATGTATTTAGAAAGACTTAAGCATCACCCTTCTGAGCAACAGAAGTCATATTTCTTTATATATTTAATCAGTTATTTATTTAAAATGTAAAATTGGCTACAGGATGTGCATATGTCCTGGCCATGTGTGTTACTTCACTAGAAAGCCTGTGATGAGCTTTCCACAGAACATTAGGACTAAAATAGACTAAATGCGTGAAATAAAAGCCTCTGTGTCACCTCCCTTACAGAGGACTAATAGAAAATGCCAATATTTCGCTTAGTATTTTCTGGCACCATGTATTCCTCCATATGAGGTTCTTTGTTACATTTAAACCCATCTACCTCTTTCTTTAGACACTTGAAGTAGATAAAAACACCTTCTTTTAAATAAAAAGCTGAGAGGGTGAGTGTCTGTTTTTGGGAATCATTTAGGTGGGTTTTGGGAAACTGCTTCACATTCACAAAGGCCTTTTTTTGGTGACGGTAGTATCAGTCTTCCTGCGTGTTGTCTAATATCCATCAGATAATCTCTGTGATCAGATCCAGGGCACTGTGCAGGTAATCTGCTGAGAGTGGTCCGTTGTTAAGGAAACAAGGTTGATGATGGAGCTATACGCAGCGCTCCTTTCATAAGTGTAATTAAACGCACCCTATTAACGTGTGTGTCTGCATGGCAACAGCAGAACACATTCATCCTCATCGTCAACAGAGCATTGAGCTCAGAACGTTGTGGGCACACGGCATTATGGTCTGTTGAGGCAACTATTGGTTAAGAGACATTTATTTCTGCCTCCTCGGTGATTCATCTCTTGGTGTTTCAGTGTCGAGTCAAAGTGGATCTCTTGGTTTCATAAACTACCTTAACTTTCAATCTGTGTCTCTTATGCAAAATATATCCCGAAGCAAAAGGAGTTTATTTAGGAGCGTTGCACAAAGTATTTTAAGTTGATTCCTTGCCAAAGTGTTTTTCACTTTACAAACTGTCCTCCTATAACATATGTGCACAATGGATTTGCTTCATCATCATCCTTTCACTTGACTTGGACAACAACGAGAATACAAAAGTAAAGAAAGGTGTAACTAGACAGAAGACAAGAAGGTTGTTCCCCTTTAAAAACCTGATACGTTGAATATATTTTAATATGTATTATATAATAGAGATTTTGAAGATAGACGGTTACATCTAAATCCTCTAACAAGTTACTCATCGCTAATAGTGTTCAGTGGGGTTTTCCCTGTTTTGAATATTATGTTCTGGTTTATCCTCCTCCTCCACAGTCACCATAAATGCAGCCATTACCAAGTGTTCCTCAACATATTTCACATTTTAAAGAGACTGGTACGTCCTAGTTTCTGAGTAAAGATACCTAAAGCAATGCATCAAGGGAATTCTTAAGTAGCTAGTCGTAGAACAAACACCAAGAGATAATCTTAAAACATCCTAAAGGAAGTTTGAATATTGATTTTATGCAATAAGTTGTTATAGGCATCCTAAGATGAACATGTAAGCGGATTTTACGCATGATATGTTTTATGCAACCTGGCACTGATATTTAAAGTTGTTGATATTGTGTTAAATATAAGTGTTAAATGTCCATTACTAGTGCACATTTCACAATAACATGAAGTGCATGAAACGTCCCCAGCAGCATGGTTTCCATCTGATTTCAAATATTGTATTATACTATTGATGAAATGAAGAGATGAAAGGCTGAGGATGAGTGAGATGGCACAGACGCACACACAAACACTTAGCCCACACACTCACGTAAAAGAGTCATCGCACACACGCACGCACGCACACACACACTCGATGGGATGGAGTCATGGATGTTGATGTCGAAATAATGTTCCCCTCTGAAACTCTTGAGCTGCTTCAGAGACTGTGGACGAGCAAACATTGGCTGTCCATTCATGCACGTCTCCAGCTTCAAGTGCGATTTGATTCCCCCACCGTGCATAACTGTATTACTCATCATCACACTTCTGTTATTAATACATCTCTCTCTACCTCTTCTCATCCTCGCTGCACCAGCTGTGATTAAACCGTCGCTCTGCTGACACCCGTTGGACTGTTTCGTGGTCAGTTCTGCGGGATTGTACCCTTTTTATTTTCTTATACTTCTTGTGTGTTGTTCCTTAAGTGCAGGAAGGTGTGTCGTGCATGGTGAGCTTGAGCTTGTGTAGGAGTGCAAGTGTTTGAGAGAAGGAGAATATATTTCCAGAAGATAAAAAACTCGATTTTTACGTCCTCTATGACCCTTAGTTTCCCCCAGAAATGAAATAATAAGCACCTCAGCCGTGACCTTTCAAAGATATTCTGTGTATCATCCGTGCTGATGCTAAGCTTTCTCTTTTTTTTCACTCCCTGAATAAAAACCTAATTGCAGCATGTCTCTTTCTCTTACACACACACACACACATTGGATAGTGGCCAGGGGATTGTTACCGAGGAGGGCTTGGTTCATCCCTGTGTTAACTCCCATCACAGTGTTCCTGTTGTTTCACACACACAGACACACACACACACACACACCATACATGTGCCGGCATACACACGAACACAGACAAGCAGAGGAGAAAAGGTGAGAAAAAAAGCAGGTTTAGCAGCAAGGACAAGCGGAGGGCATATTGAGCCCTGCACGGACACAAAGAGCAGCAGCTGACAGGAGGCAGAACAGATGTAAACAAGAGGTTAGAAATGCAGGAAGAATCAAAACATCTTGGAAATGTTATAAAACACAAGAAGCCTCCTTAACCCTCTGAGGCCCGCTGCTGTGAATCTGCAGCATCGATTTAAAACTAATTAAGTAGAACATTTTCAGATTAAAATGTACTTTATCGTGGCAAAAAATCTTTGGTTGGGAAATAGTTTAAAGTTCAAACAACATGGTTTCCCCTAGTTCTCTCTTTTGGACACTATATTCCATGTACATGTGTGACCTGTAGTATTGTTTCCTTTATGTTTTAAGATTATTAGGAATATATGATAATAATAAAAAGCATATTTTACAGGATTTGGTGGTTTTTTATGTTGCAAAAAGGCATTTGTGGGTTTCAATGTCCTCTTTAAATCAAAAGGCACCACCACCTAATAATAAGTACATTTATCTTAATATGGCACTCAACAATATATTTATATTGTATATGTATAGGCAGTGCTTGAATTGGAATAAAAAAGGTTCCAGTACTCTAAATCAGCAACTGTTTCAAGTCAATTTGATTTACACAGCCCAAAAACAAGAATTAGGCTCAAAGGTCTTTACAATCTGTACAACATACGACTCCCTTTATCCTTATCCTCATATCTTTGATTCAGTCATTAAAAAGAAACACAACAAAACTTTAACAGACAAGGACATTTAAAAAAAACAAAAAACAGAATATTTACTGTAACGTTCAGAAATTGCATGTTTTTCCACGACTAATCAGGGAGGTGTCCGGGGCTCTCATAGAGACATGACGTAGCCTATACATGTGCCTGCATCAGGTCATATAGTACATCCTATAATGCTGGTGGGTTTGTCTCTTTACTGTATATTTTAGAAAGACTCATTGTACTTAAAAAAAGTATGAAAGGCAGCGGATATGGCTAAAGCCTGACTCCTACTGGCGGCCGGTTAAATGACTCCTCGTCCCTGAGCACACTCATGCATCTTTCAGCAGGAAGGGAGAGAGGGAATCAATGGAGCTGCCAGGGAGGACACAGGGGAATAAACGCAACAAATATGCGTACCTAGATGCGTCATGAGGTGCCGGTACGCAGTAAGAAGTGACGGTACGCAGATGGGTAAAAATCAGAAGTCTTCGGTGAGTACCGGCCCAATTCAAGCACTGTGTATAGGTGTGTCATAGTGATAAAGTTAGGGGTTGAACTTATATATACTGTTAAGGCGTAGGAGTTAACAGATGACATGCTCTAACTTGGCCCTTTATATTTTAGGAAACCTGTTCAGCTGCTTGTTAGGAATGAAAACATGCTCGAGACGAACTAGTTGAGTTCATATCGGGTTTCAGAATCGGGAAAGAAAGTGATTTACGTGACTATTAACGTGGCATGATTGAAGTATTCCTGAAACTACTAATCTACTGGGATTTAGCTAGTTAATACATTTGGGTTTGATGTGCAGTAAAACAGTGTCATGTAAATAAAATATATGTTTAAGATGCCTATTTTCTTTAATTGAATCATCAATGCTTAATCTTGTTTAAAGTTGAATTGGATATTGTTTGTAAGACCCACACATATCCTGCCAAAAACATTAGAACATGTATTTGTAGCGAGCTAGAACATCCTGTTTGCATACATGAAATTAATGCTTAGGTTTTAGAGGGTTAACCATATGTTTTGACGTTAGTAGTGATTCAAAAGAAAAGCCACACTTTCTGATACACTATTAATACGCTACAGACAATCTGCATATATCTCTGTCGCATTCACCTCAAGTTTGCAGCAAAATCAGTGATGTAGTTAGACACGTCACCGTTCTTTTTACCCATACGCCATAAGCTGTGAACAAAAGAACCACACACACACATACACACACACACACACACACATCGTTAGAGTACACTGCAGCACAGGGGAAGCAGTGGGGCCCCAAGGCAAGTTAAAAAAATCAGTGTGTGTGTTTACAGTGTCAACCATTTAGCTACGAACTGCAGGTGAAGCGAGCACGGCGCGTTTATGGAAATGTGGTTGTATTTAGTAGCACTTATTAGGAAATATTTTTGCCTAAATAGATTCAGGCATGGTGGCCGTAAAATCATTGTAATTCAGAATCATCTTACTTAAAAAAATACAAACATAAACATAATAATTAAAGGATTATTTCAGCAAAGTAAAATACTTCAGACCGTCGTTTGTAAGTAGCCAGGTAGTTCAGTTTGAATTGATTCCTGTTTTGCAATACTTCTTTAAAAAAAGCTATTATTTTCTTATTTTAGAACTAAAACCACTATAATGCAAACATATTAAATGGGTTGGTGCTGCCAACAGCGATTCATAATTATATTTTCTCCTAGAATTGTGCATTAGTTACTCTGGATCACTTTGGGAACACACAGATAAGGACTATTTCATCAGCAGAGGTTTAAAACAAACTGAAAACTGTATTCTAGTTTATTTATCCATCATTTCAAACCACACATCAAACTGTATTCCCCTTCATTGTGTGGGGATGGGGGCAGAAATGTCAGGACACAACATGTAGTCTAACGTATTGTCCCTAACGGCATTCAGGAGGGGTCGTTTCAGACAGTATAGTTGTTCAAATATTTGAACAATGGAGCACATGTCTCTCTTCTGAAAGGGGGAAGCTGTACTGTACATGTTTGCACACATGAAAAGAGGCAGATTGTGTTGTGTTAAGAGGACAAAAGAGGATTTAAGGGAAAGTTTTCCACCTCGTAACAAGTGGGTGGGAAGGTTTGATTTTTCAGATTTAAAAAAGTAAAAAATATTGTCTATAAAAAACCTCAGCATCCCCATCGTCCAACACAGTCTCACGGCATTTCGTGTTATAGTCACGAAATTAATCTATTGATTCGTGCTCACCAACACGATTTCGCCATTTTTTTCGTGTCACACAGAACGATTTAAAAAGCAATGGAAATAATAACAAATTAGAAGGAAAAAAATATTTTAAAAAAAATACAGATTTCAGTATTCTGACACAGAACGATTTCAGAAGCAATGTATTTCTATTGGTAGTATGTTTCGTGCCTGCACCAAATAATAACAAATTAGAAGGAAAACAAGATGACAAAAAATACAGATGTCAGTATTCTGAGGCTCTGAGCCATTTACTTTCCTCGCGGACGGCAAAAAGACTCAGACAATTTTACAATTTAAAATAAAAGTGATGGTTAGGCTTAAGGTAAGATATTGAGTAAGAAAATGTGTTTATGAACCAGAAAGCTTCCGGTCTTCCAAGACCCGACCGGACAAAAAGACGTAGTGGTGCAGGCACGAAACACACTACCAATAGAAATACATTGCTTTTAAAATCTTTCTGTGTGACACGGAAATCGTGTTGGTGAACACGAATCAACAGATTAAATTAATTTCGTGACTATAACACGAAATGCCGTGAGACTGGGTTGGTTCGTCAGGTAGCTGTTCTACAAAGAGGTTTCAGAAGCGGTTTCATTTAGTAACTTTCTACATCTTGCATTAAACATTTAAAAAATAAATAATACTTTTCACACTTGTATAATGCATATAGTATCCTAGTAGGTTGGTCTATCAGTGTTTTCTGTAACTGTGCAATGCTTTGTTACCCTACTGCTGCTTGCAAAATGTGACATAAATAGAATGATATTAAATCTAATCGTATCAAATAAAACAAAAACCACCTAGGTAGATGGAGGTCATTTCTTTCACACTTATGGTGAAGTGACATTTTTTAATTCCTACATTTTCTCTATAACTGCTTTGAAGCGATGTATAGTAGACACTTTGGTACCACTTTACAATAAGACTACCCTTATAAAGAATAGTTTGTAATTCATTTATTAATTAGGTTGTGAATACTTTATAAATCCTTAATAAGCTTTTATAAGACATGAGATAAACAGGGCAACTGTGACCGGTTGCTTGCCAAATAGTGAGCCCATATTTATCTGTACTGCTAAGCCTTATTAGAAATGGCAGTAACTCATTAATAAATGGTGATTTGTTTCACACTTTACAACAAGGCTCCCTTTTGACTATAAATGTTAGTGACTCGTAAATAAATGGTCATAAAGAGATGCCAAGAAACATCAAGATGGAAGGGGGGGGGAATCAACTCAGTGAACAACAGATACTAAGGATGCTGGCTGATGAAGAAGACTAAGTAAGCTAGGTAGCCAATATAAGACAGTACAGATACATGTGGGCTCACTATTTGGCAAGATGACTAAGCCTTATATTGGCTACCTAGCGTACTTCGTCTTCTTCATCAGCCAGCATCCTTGGTATCTGTTGTTCACTGAGTTGATTCTCGCTGAGTAGCTAATATAAGGCTTCGTCATCTTGCCAAATAGTGAGTCTGTGTTGATGTATGTAGTTGAACTATGTTAGAACTGGTTTATAAATGGTTCTTAATGATTAATAAAGTGTTTACAACCTAATTAATAACCTAATTATAAACCCTTTATGAATCCTTTATAAGGGTAGTCTTATTGTAAAGTGGTACCGACACTTTTTTACGCTGCTATGGACAATCTTACACTAATGTACATTCCCAAAGATATTGAAGTGACTGTTATTTTGTATATATTGATTGTTGTGTTTTTATCTTAATGTGTGCACATGTGTAAATGTGTCTGTTGATTGTGTATATATAGGATATAAATATTTTATACATATTTGTATTTTTGTATTCCGGATTGTGGGAAACGGTATTTCGATCTCTCTGTCTGTACACACAAACTGAAAGATTGACAATAACGTTGACTTTGACTTTTGATAGTACAATACAATAGTAAACGTCTCTTAGCACTTGTGTTGTGTTCTCACCCTGTGTTGAGGTTGAGTGTGCTGTGGCTGGGGATGGGGATGGCGGGGCTGACCGTGCTGCGGGGAGGGGGGGTCACCGGGGAGGGGGCGGAGCTTAGGGAGGGGTGGGTGGAGCTTAGAGAGGGGTGGCTGGAGATCAGGCTGGAGGTCAGGGGGCAGCCGGGGGACATGGTGGTCACCGTTGTGCTGAGATTGGTCACGGCCTGGGACAGCTGGCTGGACATCTGCAGGGTGGGAGAGAGAGAGCGAGAGAGAGAGATTTTTAAATATATATTGTTGTTATATTATGTACACAGTTTTTATTTTAACTTACCTATTTTGTTTTATCTTTATCGCAATTTTGTACTTTGATTTCCTATGTTTATATTTAGATGTATTTTATTTTTTTAATTCAAAATGTTTACTTTAATTTCTTATGTTTACGTAAATATTTTGTTCTATTTTATTATTTTATTGTACATTTTAACTTCTTAGGATTATTTACGAAAAATTAAGTATTCTGATTCTTATTTTTAATATTCATTAAAATAAAATTACCCCATTAAAGCAGATTATTCACTTAACTAAAAGTAGTAATTCCACAGTGTAGAAATGTCACTTAAGGTAAAGTAAGGAAGTACAAACACAATGTACTTTAAGTACAAGAAGTAAAAGTGTTCATTCTGCAATTTCAGAATACTAAGTAGAGTAAAAAGTACAATATTTGCCTCCACACCAGTACACACACTTGAACTTGAGTAAAATAATAATAATAATAATACATTGGATTTTTTATAGCGCTTTTTCTATTGCTCAAAGACGCTACATGTTCATTACTGTCCACAACTGCTAACATGTGTAACAGTGAGGTTGTATATTTACCATGTGAGGGCTGTAGCAGGGCTGTTTGTGCATTTGGGGGGCAGAGGGGGGCTGGCTGGGCAGGGGCGGGGTGGAACTGCAGGGGTTGATGCGTTTCTCTTTCTGCCGGCGGTTGCAGAACCAGACCCGGATCACCTCCTTCTCCATGCTCAGCTGCTCTGAGATCATCAGGACCTCTTCTGAGGTAGGCTTCTGGTTCTGCTTCAACACAGAGGACCAGGAATTCAGAAAGTTATTCAGATAGTTATTCAGACATGAATTTAGATCATTAGTCCAATGTTTCACAAATCCTTCTTCCCAGCACAAGTAGTACAAGCTGTAGATCACATGTGTCAAACTCAAGGCCCCGGGGCCAAATCCGGCCCTTGGTGGATTTCATTTCGGCCCGCAGGATAATTTCTAATTACTATTAGATCTGGCCCGCCGGTATATTGCACGCACACCTTCACTCCATCCTGAGGGTCTCCTCAGCTCAGAGCCTGACCCCAAACATTGATGAACTTGCCCCCAAGATGAGATGCCAAGTATCTGGCTTGAACTAGCATCACAGAAATAGAGCCATAAGAAATTAATGCAACTGATTATTTAATGTTTAATGTTGTTTTTATAGACAATCATTTAAGCTTTGTTAGTTCCAGGTTGAATATGTGCAATAAGTTCATTTCAATACGTTTTGCAATAAACATTGAACCAGTCCGGCCCTCGACTAGTACCCATTTTAAATGTTGGCCCACTGTGTGTGTATTTGAGTTTGACACCCCTGTTGTAGATGCATGTAATGGAGTTAAAGTACATGTACTTTATCGCAAATGTACTCAAATACGATTTAAAAGTATGATGCAAAAAATAGCAGCTTCCAGAAATGTTATTTATTTTAAATTAAAGACATGTAACAGAGTAGATGTAATGTGATTTAAAAGCTAATAAATACCGACATATAGACTTAAATTACTGCCCAGTATTCAGATAATGCTTTAGAATATCATAGAACTCATTTCATGTTAAAAGCAATCATCTTTAATTGACTTTTTGATATTTAAGTTCATGATTTTCAAAGGAAATAATGAGGATAAATACCGTCATGAATGCGCGCTCCAGAGCCACGCGTACATTCGTCTCGATGCTGGTTCTCTTCTTCCTGCGGCGGCCAGGCATCCCGTCAAAGCCCATCGAGGAAGAGGACAGGGAGCTGGGGCTGGGCATGGTGCAGTCTAAAGACATGGTCTCTGAGGAAGAGGAACCAATCAATAAATCCATCACAAAATGTATACGTTCATTTGCAAATGAGGCATTTTGTTGTATGAGAAACTACAGATGTAAATAGACAGAGAGTATTAAAAGAAACACTTGAAACAGCAATTTCACATTTTCCTTCCAGCCCAGACATTCAAATCTGAAAAACAAGTTAACAATATATTCTATTTGATTTGATTTACTTGCACTATCATCTGTTTTATTGTTTTTGCACTGTTAGAGGAGCCTGTGACCTACGATGTTCATTGTCATAACTACACTGTAGCTATGCACACATGTCAATAAAAGCCTTGAACCTTGAATATTGAATCAAACAATGTTTTTTGTCGAAATATAAAGTATTTTCTGACAGCTCACCTGCATCATTGAGCCACTTCTCCAGCAGTGGCTTCAGCTTGCACATGTTCTTAAAGCTCAGGTTGAGGGCTTCGAAGCGGGAGATGGTGGTCTGACTGAAGTCATTGCCGTACAGCTTCCCCATGGCCATACCCACATCTCCCTGGAGGAGGGGGAGGAGAAGAAGAACAGTCACAATAAAATCACATACACTGTTAAAGGTCCCCTATTATACTGTTTTCATCAATATATTACAGGTCTCAGATATATACAGAGCCTGTCTCTGATTGGCTGAAACACCAAACAGATCTTTGCAGCATTACCCATAATCCCCTCTGTTTCAGCCCTGTTTCCAAAGTGCTGATTCTCTGTCTGTTACTTCAGATGAAAATAAGGAGCCCCTCCCCACGCCCCTCTGAGAGAGATTTGGTTACAAAGAACTCAATGGTGCTCTAGGAGGAGATTCAGGTGATAAGGGAGGGGGGGGGTTACCTTGGTTGCTGATTGGCTGATGGTTACACAAGACAAAAAATCGTTATGACATCACAAAGTGGCCAAAATCTGATCAGCTCATTTTCAGACAGGTTTTTATAGAAATGGATCAGGACAAAAAGAGAGAGAATCTTTGTTCCTGAAACTTTCAGAGTCTCTTTCCACAGAGGGGACACATGTTGATGTAAGGGTTGATGTAGAAGAGACATGAAGAAGAGGGGACACATGTTGATGTAGAAGAGACATGAAGAAGAGGGGACACATGTTGATTGTAGAAGAGACATGAAGAAGAGGGGACACATGTTGATGTAGAAGAGAGAGACATGAAGAAGAGGGGGACACATGTTGATGTAGAAGAGACATGAAGAAGAGGGGACACATGTTGATGTAGAAGAGACATGAAGAAGAGGGGACACATGTTGATGTAGAAGAGACATGAAGAAGAGGGGACACATGTTGATGTAGAAGAGACATGAAGAAGAGGGGACACATGTTGATGTAGAAGAGACATGAAGAAGAGGGGACACATGTTGATGTAGAAGAGACATGAAGAAGAGGGGACACATGTTGATGTAGAAGAGACATGAACAAGTGGATTTTGCATAATAGGTGACCTTTAAAGTAACGTACACACACACACACACACACACACCACACACACACACACACACACAACACCACACACACACACACACACACACACACACACACACACACACACACACACACACACACACCACACACACACACACACACACACACACACACACACACACACACACACACACACACACACACACACTGCAGGCGTCTCTCCTCACCTGTGTGAAGCCCAGTTTGATGCGTCTCTGTTTGAAAGTGCGGGCAAACACCTCCAGTTCCTCCAGGTCGCTGGGCTCCTCGGGGTGAGGGGTCGTCACTGAGGGCGCCGCGGTCACGCCGCTCACCTCCATACTCTTATCCCGCTGAAGAGGAACCGCGTCAGGGGAGGGAAAGTGAAACCAAGAGGTGAAGAGATTCTTATTATTCTTTCGCAACAACAATGAGCTTATTTAACTAGACGTTGAGAGAAGATTTTTATTTCTCACATAAAAGCAGAGTTAAAACCGAGCTCACCACAGAGCACACAGCTGTAGTGAAACACCACCGGTTTAAAAACTCTTCCATGTTTCTCATCAGCAGTGTTGTGCTAGTTACTGAAAACCAGTAACTAGTTACCATTACTAGTTACTTCATTTCAAAAGTAACTCAGTTCACTTTACCAGTTACTTACAAAAATAAAGTAATGCGTTACTGTGGAAAGTAACGTTTCCGTTAGTTGAAAAAAGGGCTCCCATTAATGCCCTTATAGCCTTCCTTTCAGTACTGTTATTGCATTGGAGAATAATACAATCTGTCGATCAACTTGACATGCATTATATGCAATCTGGATTGCATCGATATTAGCTGGCTTTCCATTTTTGTATATTCTTTCTCCAGGTAGTTGGAAAAAGTGTTCCGTCCCATATGCCGTGTGCCGCCCGGACATGCTATCATGCTAACTAGCTCCCTGAAAGCGGGTGACTCCACTGTAGCAATAGCCTGCATGTGTTCGACAACATACCGTGCAATGGCTTTATCGACTTTTCCCTGGATAACAGTCCCTTGGTTAAAATCCAGCCGCTGTTGCTTAGGTGGAGGTGGAGTGGCGTAGGCTGAGTCTCTGTGGTCTTAGCTACTAGCTTCGTCCCAGCATGTTGTTTTTTGCATTTGTTTTAAGAGATTTGAATTACTGGTTTGGGCAGTAGATAGGCTCTTTGACCCGCCAGGACACAACTTACATTTAACAGAAACGTTATTTTCTTTGTGCTCGACAAAAGTGAAATAGTGAGAATATCTCCAGTTGGAGAAACTAGACTTGAGCTCCGCCGCCGCCATGATAGTCTTGTTAGTAAACAACACAAACACGCCCACAGCCCGTCTCCGCATGTGACACAGGAAGTATCTAAGTACATTTACTCAAGTACTGTACTTAAGTACAGTTCTCATCTCTGTTCGCCTGGCTGTTGACTATATAAAAAAACTAACGCAGTAACGGAGTAACGCACCATGTTGTAACGGTAACTGAGTTACTGAATTTAAAAAGTAATGCGTTAGAGTACTAGTTACTGCCGGAAATAACGGCGTTACAGTAACGCGTTACTCAGACGGTGAAATCTAAAATCTACCGTCACTCTTGCTTCTACCAAAGATAAAAACATGTTAGTGAGTTGCTGACCGGCTGGACTGTTTACTTTGTTTTTCCTGCTTTTGTAGATCGACATTTTCGCCTGCCCCACAATACAATTAAACCGTTCCCACTTCCCTGCATTATTTTTCTTGTAGCCAGCACCAGAAAATAAAAGCAGTCTCTGTAAAAACCTCCACACAGTCTAAAAACACAGGTCCACAGGTTTCAGTCTGTGAGAGTCCAGATAGGAAGAGACACAAGAGTGTTTGTATTACTGTGTTTTAATTTTCCACTGAGTAATGCTTGAATACATTTCTGATCTTCTGCATCTGGATGAGCCCCCTCAGGTCTCCCTAGTGCCAACATTAAACGTGGAGATGCAGCATTCAGTTTTATGCATAAAATATATTGAAACAATTACAAAGATTACTGCAACTTTGTTTCTGTCCGTTTGCTGCTGCATGTATAACACCCCCCAGATATACATGTCTTACAATGCAGTGTACATTTTATTATTGTTTATTACAATCTTTTTAATTCTCGTTTAAATGTTATTTCTCTAGTGTTTTAGATTGCCTTGCTATGTAAAAGATATCTCCTTTCCTTGAAAAGTGTCCTCATACCTGTGCTTGGAGTCCCATTCTGCTCGAAGCACACAGCAGGCTCCCTTGGTTTTGATGAGGTAGCGAAAGGAGATTTTGTGGCGATAGGAGTCCTGAGAAGAAGCAAATAATCAGCTTTAGTAAAGACAAAAACAAAATCAAACAAACAGATTTTTATCTTAAAGGTCCCATATTATACTGTTTTTCATCAATATATCACAGGTCTCAGATATATCCAGAACCTGTCTCTGATTGGCTGAAACACCAAGCAGATCATTGGAGCATTACCCATAATCCCCTCTGTTTCAGCCCTGTTTCCAAAGTGCTGATTCTCTGTCTGTTACTTCAGATGAAAATAAGGAGGCCCTCCCCACGCCCCTCTGAGAGAGATTTGGTTACAAAGAACTCAATGGTGCTCTAGGAGGAGATTCAGGTGATAAGGGGGGGGGGGGGGGGGGGTTACCTTGGTTGCTGATTGGCTAATGGTTACACAAGACAAAACATCGTTATGACATCATAAAGTGGCCAAAATCGGATCAGCTCATTTTTAGACAGGTTTTTATAGAAATGGATCAGGACAAAAAGAGAGAGAATCTTTTCTCCTGAAACTTTCAGAGTCTCTTTCCACAGAGGGGACACATGTTGATGTTGGAGAGACATGAAGAAGAGGGGACACATGTTGATGTAGAAGAGACATGAAGAAGAGGGGACACATGTTGATGTAGAAGAGACATGAAGAAGAGGGGACACATGTTGATGTAGAAGAGACATGAAGAAGAGGGGACACATGTTGATGTAGAAGAGACATGAAGAAGAGGGGACACATGTTGATGTAGAAGAGACATGAAGAAGAGGGAACACATGTTGATGTAGAAGAGACATGGACAAGTGGATTTTGCATAATAGGTGACCTTTAACATCTAATTTCTGCCAAAAAACACAAAAACAGGATGCCAGTAGCAGGTGTTGCCCACCTTGGCCCTGCTGTGGCTGTTGGAGGAGGTACTGTGCCGGAGAGGGCAGAGAGTGACCGGGCACCAACACCAGCTGCTGGAGCTGGAGCAGCTGCTGGATGTCCTGTTGGGCACAGAGAGAAACATGTCAGATTTCTAAAGAAGGTTAGAGGCTAAGTAAAAGAAAACACATGTTATCTTTCTCCCCTGGAGGTTTTGATGTTCACTTAAAGTCCCTTCATTGACCTATTATACAAAGACTGCAGATCACTTGAGGAAAAACTAAGAAAAACTCATTATTTATCACTTGTATATAGACTCTTATGGCACTACTTCTATTCTATTTTATTGTATTTAATTGCACTATTTTAAAAACCCTCAATATCCTAAATCTGACCGAAAACCTGCACTTTGTTGATCGAGTAGGACACCCTGAAGTGGGAGGAAAAATGGTGTTATCGTAAAAGTTATGAGAAGAGAAATGGAAAATATGTGCATTGGTGCAGGGTGGAAACTGTGAATCATGAAATAAGCATTCAAGCACGAATAATGTTTCCACGGCTTGAGACTGGGTTCCTCAATCATGCCGCTCGACAGGAAGTGGCTCTGATTGGCGGGTAGTACCTGGGCGGTGAGCTGGATTGGCTGAGAGAGATTGAGCTGGGGGGGCTGGATGCTTTGGGCTGTCTGGTCCTGTGTGCTCTGTCCCTGGGACTGAGACTGGGCCTGAGACTGGGCCTGATGCTGCTGCTGGGCCTGATGATGATTGGCTGCTGCTGCGGCGGCCTGAGCTTGCTGATTGGCTGCTGCGTGGGCAACGTGAGCGGCATGCGCTGCAGAGGACTGCTGCACGGCTGCTGCTAGGAGCTGAGCCTGAGCCTGCTGGAGGAGAAGCTGCTGCTGAGCTGGAAAGA